AACTTTACAGATCTTCTTTATGCACCAAGAGCTTGTAACACTTCAAAGAGAAGGCCGCGCCGTTCTCAAGCTCACCGGCCTCCTCTCACTCAGCCCTCCGGCCGTTCCTCACTCTAGCCGCCGCCGCTCACTCTAGCCCGCTGTGTGTGATGCTGTGCGTTTCGTTATGAAAGCGAAACTACTTTGTTTGGCCTTCCAAAAGAGGACATGACTAGAAATCAGTGGTTAAGTTGTATTTACAACACTGTTCCAGAACAGTTCAACCCAAATATTCAGATGTGTGCAGCACATTTTATGGAGGACTGTTTACTGATCCTGGTAGAGTAGACTACAATGCCGGCTGTTCTGACTCACAGATTGTAAATAAGTTTTTTATATTTAAAGAATTTGCCACTGATGATTCAAACGTGAGTTTTGAGCAGTGTAGAGTAGGGCTTGTTGTTTGTCATTTCTCCGATCACAAATGCAGACATGGTTTTATGTTTATGCGGTGCGATGCAATGCAACGTGTAAAAAGACAGAATAAGTCATTATAATCCGTAATTATGTCCCCACTGGATGCAACAAATGCCTCGTTTATAATGGGTTTTAATTCTCGTCGCTCCGGCCAGGACAAGGCATCACAATATGGTAAGGGGCGTAACATTTCCATCACACGCTTGAGGTATTCGGCCAATCACAACGCACTAGATAGCTGGCCAATCACAGCACACCTTGCTTTTCAGACCGATGAGCTTTGTAAAAATCAACGCGTTTCAGAAAGGCGGGGCATAGAGGAGAAACAACAATGTACAGTATGTGGAAAATAATGTGTTTTTTGAACCTTAAACCACATAAACACATTTCATTACACCAAATACACAAAATAATGTTCCTTTTAGCAACATCATATGACCCCTTTAAATATTTTAAAATATACATTTTTAATATAAAAAGATTTTAATTTAAAGAAAAAAAGGATGGACCTTAAAAATTGCTAATGTATGTAAAAATGGTGATGGTGTAGGAGTAATGCAATGATGCTAAATTATTTAATCAAATTGAAACTGTGCTCTTACCTCAGAATAGGCCTTGGCCCATGAATTTGTAAGTTTGTTTATGTCGACCTCTCCGTTAGTGAGTCTCTGCAGGGCTCCTTCTGCCTCCCGGTCATAATCCACCAACGTTTCCCTCTCTATGAAACTAACCAGGCTGTTTTTCAAGTCTAAAATCAATGCAGAAAAGTTAGAGGATGTACAGTAATAATACATGACTTGGAAATAATGCATTAACAATCTGAGAGTTGAATTTGATCATATACATGCTCAAATAAATGTTAATATATTACCATTTTCTACAAAACAGGGGATTTTATGAAGCAGCATGATCCGCCCATGAAGATCATTGACATTTTCTTTGAGAGGGAACTGAAGTGGTACTTTGAGGACACAGTGATGTTTTCCTGCCTTAAACTCAAACATAAACTCCTTTTCTATTGTACTGGTTTTCCCTTTGTTTTTCCTCATTTTCACCTGCATTTAGAAAACAGACATAACAATAATGGTTTTATAGTATAGACGACAGATACAGACATAATTCTTCATAATAATTATGAACGCTGTCTAGGTAGTGTAGCCATAGGTATTGAGACGCAGCCATAGTTTCTGCAGAGATGCATTGGAATAGATGCACGTCTGGCATGAATAAATAACTGCCATTGTGATGTTATGAAACCAGAAATTGTCGTTACACAAACACAGACGTAAGTTTTCGTTCATAAATATAAGAACACCTTTTCAATTATGTGACTAACAAATGCTATTCAACAACAGCTCACGTGAATGAACTGAGTGCTAAGAAAGAGTTCGTGCTAGACGACGAAACCACAACATGTTAACTGAAATATATTTGAAAGTGTAGCAGAATTACACGGTTATTATTCGTGCATTTTCCAGTAAATTGTCCAATATTCTTTGTTTGCAAGACACTTCCTGCTTACCTCCACTTGTTTTACTCCGCTAGCTGTCAGCCGATCAGCTAGTTTGTGATTAGTAACAGCAAATTCCACACGAAAAGAGAATCGTGGTTTGGTGTAGCCTGCACGTAATTTCATTTTTTAATTATTTGCGTAATAATTACTGCGCAATACTTCAGACCAACATACAGGCCAGAAGTCAGCTAAATATTATTTGCTGAAAGTGTTTCGTTCAACACAAAATCCTGAGGAATGGATTTCATATGGTCTAATCAAAACAAAAACAAATTTTGAATCCCCTCCTTCTCATCCCTGTAAATTTACAAGCAAACACTGATAAAAACATGTTAATTTCTGCACATTAATCACATAAATATTCTTGCATACGAAAATGTTCGTTTTCACATAAATACAAGCAAGCACAGTGCTTACTCTGTCTATTGCATGTCTAAACTAACACGTTTATCAGATAAAATAGCCTACTATTAATATAATAATTAATGTTATATATTTAATGTATAATTAATACCTCAATTAATAATTGGTAATGTTTTTAAAGATCATGCTCATATGCTTTTATAATTAAAACTTTATTATAACTAAAATTTTATTTCCCAATAAATGACCAATTAATGTTCCATGTTCCATTAATATGTTCCATGAGTGTATAAACTATATTCAACAAGGATAAATAAATAAATAAATATAAAAAATAGATAGATAGATAGATAGATAGATAGATAGATAGATAGATAGATAGATAGATAGATAGATAGATAGATAGATAGATAGATAGATATAGATATATTGTCCAATAGCCTATGTTTATGGATGTTTCTGAATGTTAAAATCTTGAATAATATGAATTTGAATAATAGCATTTGTGGACCTATATTGTCCACTATCAATCCCCTTCATGCTGCTGCAGTAGTTTAATATTAATAGTTTAGTATTTTGTGTCACTGTATCATTGAGGATGGGATACTGTTGTCACTGAACAGAAGCATGAGGTGTGTATACAGGATTTGTTCTCTGTTACATATACAAGACCTGTATTAAAGATGCATGCTGTATCAGTTACAGGTAGAGTGACACATTTGTTGAGCTCTTTGTCTCTTGAAGCCTAAATCACGCAAGGGCACTGTCTCTTTTTAAATCCTCACACGGAAAATATGAGGGCATCGTCACATCATCATGTGACCTGAGCTTCAAAAAAGCAACAGAAAGCAGCTATGTCAAATGTAATTTGATTGTTATTTCTATTATGTTCAATATTTTAAAATCAGTGCACACAGGCATCCCAGAAGAATTGTCATTTTGTCTAAAAATTATGAACACTGCCAACACATCTGAAGTGACACATTGTGTAATGTGATGAAAAGTTTATTTAAAATATTTTTGGAATAAAATGTACTTAATGTAGGGCTATCATAAATACATATAATATCAACATAATATTTTTACACCTTTTGCATAATTTGACAAAATTACAGCTTGATTGGAAATGATGTGCATGCAATATAATATGAATATAAATGTTTGTTTTTTTCACACATTATGTCTGAAATAGACTACATTAACTTTTAAGAAAACTTGTTTGTTGGTTGTAATGGAAGGGACAGCCATAAAAATATAGCCTAAATATTTTTCACATTATAAATACTGAAAGGGTTTATTTCACTCTTTGTTTAGATCATAAACATGCAATGATTCATATTTATTATTTTAATGGATATTTATATGGTAAAACAATAGAAATCATACTGTATATATACATCATAAAATGTAGGACTATGTATTTGCAACAGTGTCGGTGAGAAGCTTGAGAATTATAAGAGACATTATGTGTGAAAAAAAACATTTATATTCATATTATATTGCATGCACATAATTTCCATACAAATCGTAAAAAAAGTACAAAAAAATATATTTATTTTTAAATTATTTAGTTTTAATTAAAGGGGTCATATGATGTTGCTAAAAATAACATTATTTTGTGAATTTGGTGTAATGAAATGTGTTTATAAGGTTAAAAAACACATTATTTTCCACATACTGTACATTATTGTGTCTCCCCTATGCCCTGCCTTTCTGAAACGCGTCGATTTTTACAAAGCTCATCGGTCTGAAAAGCGAGGTGTGCTCTGATTGGCCAGCTATCCAGTGCGTTGTGATTGGCCGAATACCTCAAGCGTGTGACGGAAATGTTACGCCCCTTACCATACTGTGATGCCTTGTCAAAAATGACAAACAACAAGTGCTACTCTACACCATATCATTTATATGTCTATGCTCTACACTGCTCAAAAAACGAAACATATCAAGCAGCCCCGCCCCTTTTTAAAAAAAAATGACAAACAACAAGTGCTACTCTACACTGCTCAAAAAACGAAACATATCAAGCAGCCCCGCCCCTTTTTAAAATAGCCAATAGCGTTCGTTTATATCACAGCTTGGGCTAGAGCTGTTCAGAGCGGTTGAGCTCCGTAAAGCTGCATTTGACAGGTTATGCTAGCCACAATCTCATCCATATTGCTATAAAATATAGCATTCTGTGTAGAATTCAAATAGCTCCGATACATTTTGTGGTCAGCGCCGACTCGCGCATGTGATCCACTCCGTGCTATCGTGTCTCTGGACCGGAGCAGAGTGTGTGTGCGGTGCGGTGGTTAGCCTGACACAGCGCCAAACCAGACTTCTTTTTTTCCTCAATGGAAAGCATATTTACACTGTTTGAATCGTTCCCTGTCCCCTGTACAGTGCACTACGTGCCATTCACTGTACAGAAAATACCAATTTTGTGGACAAGTGACCGATTTCAGCCGCGGCTTCAGCGTCTATTTTAGTGTAGGGGGCGGGCGCTTCGGATTCTAGAGCGTTTGATTGGACAGAAAGATTGATGAGAAGCTGAAGTATGATGTGACGTCAAAAAAAATAGAGAATCATTATATATAGATCAGTGCGTATTTCTCGTTGTATAATGTATTGTAACGTTGTCGCCGTGGTTACGTGGACGAGCACAACAAGAGGGAACACGTGCGTGCGAGGCGCGCGCCCGGCCTGCTGCCCTCATCATCAGTTTCACTATGCGCGCTCCCGTTTACTACAGGACACACTTCTCCATCAGAAAGACTGCGTCTGAGGAATATTCGCACACCCTTACAAGTGAGGGCTAGTGATCTGACTATGGACAAAAAGTAAGTAGAGAACTGCTAATTGTATTGTCGTTTGATGTGTAGCAGTTTGTTGTACAGCATTCTTCCACCTTTGGTTTCGTGTTTTTTTTTTTTGCACAAAGTTGTGCAAGTTATACAATCTGAAAAGGCTTATGATATCGGCAAAAATATTCTAAAGCTTATGGTGCCATATACAGAGTGTATAGAAAGCAAATCTGTAGAGAAAATAATACACAGGCTATCCGAATAAATACGTCTTTAACCAGCTGGGGTCACTAGTAGCTTGCAGTATAGCTTCCAGCACTAATAACTGCCGGTGTAGGCTATATTTAGTTGAATATATGAATAGGCTATTCATATATGTAATTAAAATGTCATTAAATTATATAAATAAAAATCATATAATTTATAGAATTATACAAATACGTATTTATTATGAATTTTCTAAACTTCACATTTAATTTAATGTGTTAATTACGGTTTCTGTGTAATTATTTGTGAATTTTACAGCAATTTCTGAGTAAAACTGATTCAGAGTAAATACACCGTTTTTTTATTCACAGCATTTTCTAAAACATAGATATGTTTGCTTTGAACAGAAAAGCTGTGAGGAAGAAACTAGAGACACTCATGAAGGAGAGGAACATTAGTCTTCCTTTGGTGAAAAAGGTAGGTGCACTTTAATGCATTGTCCAAAAGGATGAGTCATAACTTCATGCAGCACTATGTGCACATAAATAAACCTCTGTTCATGATGGTTTTAAAAAACTGAAAGCTGAATCTTTATTCAGTGATAAAATAAGGTCTTCTACCCAGCTTACATGCATAGACAACTTCAGTTAAGAACACTGACTCATCCAAGTCAAGACATGCATTTGGTGTGTTTGGATCTGTTTGTTGGACCAAAGGCAGACTGAGAAGTGTTTGGTTTGCACAGATACCCAATAGCCTACCTTTGTTTTGAGCACAGCTCTTTCTTAAAGTCTTTTTTTTTTTGCCAGTCTAGTATCCTGGAGATACTCTGATGCAACAGCAAACCCTTAAAGCAGTTACAACGTGATGTTATGACACTGTGGTACCTGTTTCTGCTGACACACTACAACTCCTTCTTCATCTATTTTGAAAATACTGCCATTAATTTGTTTTATGGATGACAGGTTGGTGACGTTTGTCCTCAGATCATTGCGCTGTACGTGTAAAACAGGAACACTGGCGGCATTTTGCTTAATGGCTGACCTGTTCTGTTGTAGAGAGAATAATGTCCACATGGTTTTTTATTTTTTTTCGACTCAGCAATCTGCCTGCTCAGTGCTGCATGTTTTTTGAAGGGGTAGATTTGTAAAATAAATAAATAAATGACAACTGTCATCATTTACTCATTCAAATGTCATTCCAAACCTGTATGACTTTTTGTCTTCCACCAAACACAAAAGATGTTTAGAAGGATGTTCACATTGCTCTTTTCCATACAAAAGAAAAAAAGCTAGGATATTATCATAATATCCTAAGTTATTATAACTTTTATGGAGTTTTTTTGTCAGTTTGAAGCCCAATCCCTGGTCACTGTTCACTTTCATGCAAAAAGAGCAGCATGAACATCCTGCGAAATATCTCCTTTTGTGAAAGAATAAAGTTAAATAGGTTTGGAATGACATGAGGGTGAATAAAGAATGATATAAACTTTTTTAAAAATAACTATTCCTTTAATGTTATACACTACAGGCTCTCAGAACAATCTATGACTTCTTGAAGAGATTCTTGTCTTGAGTGACTGTTTCTGTTGCTTGTAGAATAGATGCTGCATGAGGGGAATCAGGCAATGAATTACTTAAGATTAGTCATGGATTTAGCGTTGTTTTTGTTCAATCTGTCTGTAAATCAAGTATTACAACAAGATGATGTGCGTCTTTGCTTTCAATCTGAACAAGATCCTCACAGCGCATCACTTTAATACGTCTGCTGGCGGAAAAACTGGAACGTTTGTTTTCTGAAGGAGTGCGTTTCAATCAGAGTGAGAGACAGCGAAGACCTTGAGGCAACCGGGTTTCTGAGAGAGAGCC